CTGCCATTGACTGGGCTGGGAGCTTAATTCAGTTTGTGGTGTCTGATGGAGCACAGCATTCCTGATCCAGAGCTTGACTGACTGGTTAGAATATTTGAATGTTTCATTGGGAGTTGATGATGTGAATCCCTTTTTCCTGCTTAGGGACAAGAGGAGGGACCTGGGCAATGAGCAGAGCTGGTTCCAGAGCTGGGCGATGAGCAGAGCTGGTTCCAGAGCTGGTTCCAGAGCTGGGCGATGAGCAGAGCTGGTTCCAGAGCTGGACGATGAGCAGAGCTGGTTCCAGAGCTGGGCGATGAGCAGAGCTGGTTCCAGAGCTGGGCGATGAGCAGAGCTGGTTCCAGAGCTGGTCCGACGGGCTCTGCCCTGTCCCCCCCTGCTCTCTGGGCACGGCATCCCATGGATGTGGAGCCCTTCCAGGTTTGGCCGTGGGTGCACACCCAAAGCGGCTCCTTTGGCCCAGGTGGGTGAATTTCCCTCCAGAACATCCCAAAGGTTCCCATTCCATTCTGGAGCCCCAGCACGCCCGGATTGTGGGTGGATAAATGCACCAGAACTGCTCCCGAGGAAAACCCTTCCAGGAGGGTTCTCAGGAAGCTTGAGCTCCATCATCTCCTCCCTGCAGCTGAGGCTGCTCCATGATTTCCTTCCCAAAATCTTTCCCTGATAACACCTGGCTTCTGCAGCCTCTCCTGCTCAGGTTCCTCCCCTTCCCCTCCAGCCCTTTCCTCTCTGTCACCCCCTTACACTCATTTACCCCCTCAGGCTGGGTTTGGCTGCTTCTCCTCTCCCTTTCCAGGTTTGTTTCTCCAAACCCACACAGAGAACCCCAGGGGGAAGTTGCACACAGAATTCCAGGGGGAAGCTGCACAGAGAACCGCAGGGGAAGCTGCACCAGGAATTCCAGGGAAAGCTGCCCAGAGCATCCCAGGGCAGCCCTGCTCCCCCAGGTGATCCCAGCCCAGGTAAGCGGTTCCCAGAGCCAGGAGAGCCCTTCCCGGGTGTGTGGGGCTCCCTGCACCCCGTTATCCAGGCGGTGGGGCTCAGCCAGGGCCAGCACACCCCCAGAGGGATGTGTAAACTGGATTTCCTTGCTGCACTCCCTGCTTTGCTGTTGGACTCCTGAGGATGGGAGCCCACGGCAATCCCTGCCTGCAACAGCAGCAGGAATCAGTGTCTGGAAATAGGAATGTGACACTCTCCCCCCAGTACAGCCTTTTTGTTGTTTTGTGGTTTTGGGTTCTGCCTGCACTTTACATTCTTGTTGCTCCCTGCCAACAGTGTCTCTGTTCCTCCCCCTGCCCTGCCAGGTCATTTAATATGGCCCAAAATGGATTAGATTTATCAACTTTTGACACCAAACAAAACCTGAACTGATTTTTTGCCACATCCATGCTGAATTTTATTCTGCTTTCCATTTTTTTTCCTGAGGCATTGTTTCCTGAGGCAGGGAAACCTTCAAACAGCACAGCACAGGGATTTCCCCTGGATTCCTCCGTCTGACCCTAAATCCGTGGTACCTGCAGTGCCCACCCTGGCACACTGGGTGTCCCCTGGGTGTCCCTGTACCCACACCAATGTCCCCTGGGTGTCCCTGTACCCACAGCAGTGTCACTGGGTGTCCCCTCTGCTCCTGCTGTGTCTCACCCACCAAAGGCTCTGATCCCTGCCCCAAAGCAGCCCCACCCAGCCATGGGGCACTCCCTGGGTGTATTCCTGCACTCTAATCCTGTTTTTCTGAGCACTTTTCATCCCCTCTGCAGCCATGCCCCGGTGATTTCCTGCATTGCTGCCCCTCCCAGGAGGATCATTGCCAGCAGCCAGGAGAGGGGAGGCAGGGCATGAGGCAGGGGCTGTGCTCCAGCTGTGCTCACCTGCAAGGGCTGCCTGCCTGGAAAGTGTTCTCCTGGCTAAAAAAAACCAACCAAAATTACATTTAAATGCTGGTTTCTAGAGAGATGTCCCATCAAAAATTGATTTCTGGTTCTGGAGTTAAAACAAGGAATCCACAAAGCAGTTTGGGGAATTCAGGGGTAAAGGGAGATGATGGAGATTGTGCTGAAGTTTAATAGCAAGGTCTGTGCGCAGTGTTCCTGTGAGGGAGCTGGGTCGTGCCAGGGAAGGGAGATTCCTTAAACTCAGCTCTGGCCTCTGATTCCATCTCTCCTTTGTGGCAGGGATCACAGGGCCTCCAATTCCTGCATCTTCTTCAGGCTCGTCTCCTCTTCTGCCTGTGGAACTCCTCTCCTGTAAGCACAAACCTGGTGCTGGGTTTATTTCTGTGCACAAACCTGGTGCTGGGTTTGTTTCTGTGCACAAACCTGGTGCTGGGTTTGTCTCTGTGCACAAACCTGGTGCTGGGTTTGTTTATTTCTGTGCACAAACCTGGTGCTGGGTTTGTTTGTTTCTGTGCACAAACCTGGTGCTGGGTTTGTTTGTTTCTGTGCACAAACCTGGTGCTGGTTTTGTTTCTGTGCACAAACCTGGTGGTGGTTTTGTTTGTCTCTGTGTTCCACACCCCAGCTGAGGACATTCTTTCCTCACCACGTTCCTGGTTGTGGGCTCGAAGCTGAGCTGCCCACACGCCTTGGGAGCGTTTTCCATGTGGAAATGTGATGTTGCACTGAATAATTTGCATTACCTGCCCCTTCCTTCCAGGAACCAGCAGGGCTGTGGGTGCTTTGGGTGGACAGTTTCCTTTCCATGGCTTTAGCTTTGGCTTTCAGCATGTTGTGCAGGCACCTCAAGCTGTAATTAAATTAATGCCATCACAGGCAATGCCTGGTGTTTCCACATAAGCAAAAAACCCCCAGAATATTTCCTTCTTCCACAGCGCTCCTAGGGCTTTGCTGGGCCAAATTACAAATTTATTTTTTAACTTGTATTATTTTTAGCTGGTTCAAAGAGGTGGAGGAAGCAGCAGCACATCAGCTTCTCCACCAGCTGTGAGCTGTGACTGTCCAGCCTTGTCTCAATACTGCTATATTGATATTGATATACTGATATATATATATATATATCAGTATTTAGCAATATACTGCTATATTGATATTGATATACTGATTTATATATATATATCAGTATATAGCAATATACTGCTATATTGATATACTGATTTTTATATATATATATCAGTATTTATCAATATACTGCTATATTGATATACTGATTGATATATATATATCAGTATTTATCAATATACTGCTGTATTGATATATTGATATATATATATCTGTATATAGCAATATACTGCTATATTGATATTTTGATATATATATATCAGTATATAGCAATATAGTGCTATGTTGATACATTGATATATATTAGAAAACTTACACTAACTATCAATTAATATTGATACTTGGTGTAAGTTTTCTAAAATCTATGAGAAGTGTACACACTTACCTCTATGAAATTCAGAGGCCAGACAATTCTGTGTCAACAGTTCACATTAAATTATTAAGTAAGAGTGTCACCTGTAGTTTTGTACAGGATTGATGTAGTGAATACAAAATGGCACTTGGCATCTAAAAATGTAAAAGGCACATTAAAAATATATGTAAAAGTATACTTCAAACGTACTTCTACTGAGAAAAAAATTGCCTTTCTTACACGTCAGTAAATAACAGCAGACCGAATCAGGGAGGGAGAGGAAAGCAGCCCAGGTGGGTGCAGCAGCAGCATTTCCTGCGCTGCCTGAGGCACCAGGGTGTTTGCCCAGGCTTGCAGGGATCTGGGAGTGACTCTGGGTCTGTGCCCTGCACATCCGCTGCTCACAGATCACCCCCAGTGCCACTGAGACCCCTGGGGTGGCACACAGTGACCACATTTTCCTCCTGGTTCCATGGGGACGATCCCCCAGCTGTGCCTCTGCTCTGGATCCAGAGCAGCAGCTCTGAAGCTCAGCCTCCTCTTTGCTTGGTTGCCCTGCTGAATTCTGGAGCTTGGCTTTGATGCTGGCTGGAATACTTGACTTTCCTGTACCTGCCTAAGATCATGATTAGGCTTTTGTGCTGCATCAAAACGAGAAATCTGCATTAAAGGGCTGCACCAGGTACCTGTTGGCTGGATGGGTAGGCAAATACCAACCAGCTGTTTGCCCAGCACTCGGGAAATGAGCCCCACTCCAGCCTCAAGTGGAGCTTTTGTTGCAGGAGCAGCTGTAATGACCCATTTCAAACAATATTCCAGCAGCAGCGAGCTCAGGCCTCCTGCGCTGGATTTCAGCAGAGCTGCAATCGCGCAGTTAGGAAATGGTGAGCCCTGCAATGAGGCACCTTTAATTGAATCCTGCCGCTTGCTCAATGGCAGCAGCCCTTCGGGCAGCCCTGAGCAGCAGGGAAACCAGCCCTGCCCCACCTCTGCAGGCTGCCATTGGCTGCAAACCTGCCCGGCCCGATGGGCTGCGCTCGGAGGGGATTTACAGCCGGTAAATAGCAGGGCTGGAGCGCTCGGGAATGCATTTCCACCCTTGGAGCTCTGCATGGAGCCTCTGCCCAGGAACCCGGCACGAGGAAACGCTGGAGTGGACATTGCCTGTGCTGCAGATTCCACTGGAGCTCTCCAGAGCATGGTTTGTGTGAGTAGGTGACCCTGGCAGCTGGAGAACATCTTTGGGGCAGCTGGAGAACATCTCTGGGGCACCTGGAGCATCTCTGGGGCAGCTGGAGGAGCATCTCTGGGGCAGCTGGAGGATCATCTCTGGGCAGCAGGAGGAGCATCTCTGGGGCAGCTGGAGAACATCTCTGGGGCAGCTGGAGAACATCTCTGGGGCAGCTGGAGGATCATCTCTGGGGCAGCAGGAGGAGCATCTCTGGGGCAGCTGGAGAACATCTCTGGGGCAGCTGGAGAACATCTCTGGGGCAGCTGGAGGATCATCTCTGGGGCAGCTGGAGAACATCTCTGGGGCAGCAGGAGGAGCATCTCTGGGGCAGCTGGAGGAGCATCTCTGGGGCAGCTGGAACATTTTTGGGGCAGCAGGAGGAGCCTCTCTGGGCAGCATGTCGTGCTGCGTGCTGCAGATCACCGGGCTGATTTTCGGCGCCGCGGGCATGCTGGGCACGCTGGCGGCCACGGCCATGCCCCAGTGGAGGGTGTCTGCCCACGTGGAGGCCAGCCTGGTGGTGTTTGAGAGCGTCTGGGAGGGGCTGTGGATGGACTGCATCAGCCAGCTGGGGCTCAGGCTGCAGTGCAAGCTCTACGACTCGGTGCTGGCGCTGCCGCCGCCGCTCGAGGCCCTGCGCGCCCTCATGTGCCTGGCCGTGCTGCTGGCCGTCGGGGCCTTCCTCGTGGCCGTCGTGGGCGTCAAGTACAGCCAGCCCGGCAAGGAGGGGCCCCAGAAGGTCAGCCCCTTCATCCTGGTGGCGGGGGTGGCCTTCCTGCTGGCGGGCGGCCTGGCGCTGGTGCCGGTGTCCTGGGCGGGGGGCAGCATCGTCCGTGATTTCTACGACCCCGCGGTGCCCGTGCCGCTCAAACGGGAGCTGGGTGCCGCCCTCTACGTGGGCTGGGGCAGCGGTGCCCTGCTGCTGGCTGCAGGGGCCATGTACTGCCACGTCTGGGGCCGGGCGGGCAGCCACAGCCACCCCTGGCTGGCAGCACGGGCAGCGCTGCCCCGGGCGGGAGCGCCAGCCCTGGGTGTCCATGCCTACGTGTAGCTGCTGCCCACGGGGAGCCTGGGCTCCACAGGACCCTGAGGATCATCCACCCCAGCCCCTGCCATGGCAGGGACTCCTTCCACCATCCCAGGCTGCCCCTAGCCCCGTCCAGCCTGCCTTTGGACACTGCCAGGGATCAGGGGCATCCTGTGATCTCCCCGCTTGGCATGTGCTGATGGCTTCTTCATTTGCCTCCAGGAGCAGTGATGTTGGTGCTGTGCTGTTTGCTGCTGCCTTGGATCTCTGCTCCGATGCCTGGCAGGAGCTGCTCTCACACAGGTCTGTGCTCAGAGCCCGTTCTCCATCTCTTTGGGAACGAGGAATGGCAGCAGCAGCCAGCAGGCTGTCAGGGAAGGTGAGCAGCTTGTGCTGGGCAGTACCCATGCCCTGCCCAGACCTCTGAGGGGCAAAGGGAGCAGGGCATTTCCCTGAGTGCAGTGGCTCTGAGGGGTGCCCAGGACAAGCCTGGAGCTGGCAGCACGGCTCAGAGAACAGAGAAGCTCCAGCTCCCAGTCCTGGCACAGAGATGTTGGTGCTGCCCCAGCAGAGCCCTCTGGGGCTGCCCATGGATCTCTCTGATGCTTGTGGAGCTGGTGCATCCTCCTCATCTCCTCTGCAGGGCATGGAACATGACTCATGGAGCAGACTTTTGATCTTTTTCCTAGTACTGGCTTTGCTGCTGCTTGCCACCCCTCCTGCCCTGTAAAACTCAGCACAGACTCTGCTCAGGAATTCCTGTGCTTGTGCAAAGTGCAATTCCCAGCCAGGGAATCACAGAATTTCTAGGTTGGAAGAGACCTTTAAGATCACCGAGTCCAGCCCATGTTCTAACACCTCAGCTGGACCAGGCAGGCCCACCTGCCCCTCAGAGCACGGAGCTGCTGCCCGCGGCTCCCAGCACGCCCAGCCAGCCCAGCCCTGCCGTGGCTCCAGCTGCTCTGGGCTTGCCAGGCTGCCTTGGGAATGCAGCCTGCTCCTGCCTGCCTGCCTGTCTGTCTGTCCGTCCTGCAGGAGCCAACAGCATTTGCATGGGTTGGAATTGCAGCATTCCCAGCTGAAAGCCCTGGAGCCTGCGTTTGGCTGCCATGCTGAGTGCCCAGGGAAGGCCCAGCCCAGCAGGGTTTGTCTGGTTCCTCACCCAGCAGTGATGGATTTGAGCACTTAAGGGACAATTTGGTGGCACAGCTGACCCTGTGCTGTGCCTGACAATCTGAGATCGTCTGCAATGGCTGTTTGGGTGAGGAGAGCAACATCTCTGTGCATTCATTCGGCTGCTCCATTTGAAAGGGAACATGGAAAGCTGCATTTAATTACAGGAGCCTTTCATTAACTTGCCTTCAGCTGAACTGGGATGAGGCAGCGCCGTGCTCCACAGAAATTCATAACCTGGATTAACTCAGGAGCATTTGCATGGAAGGCAGCCAGCTCAGGTCCTGCACTGGGAGTTTTCCAGGCCCCACAAAACTGGTTTGATGTCTCCAGCTCATCACTCCAGCAGTCAAATCAGCACTTACTAATCCTAGGTGGAAACTGAAGAAAACACTTGTAAATAGGTTCTTCTAGCACAGAACCATGGTTTTTTTTTTTTTCTGTTGTCATATGAAGTGTGTCAGGGCAGCTGTCACTGACAGTTGATTTCAGTGGAGCCATCCTGGTGACTTTGGTAATAATTTCCACCACCCTGAGGAGCTCCACCTCCTATTTTATTGTGATTTTTTTTCTGTATTTTGATTTTCATTTAGTTCAATATGGAACTATTTGGTGGGTAAGCCAGAATTGCACGTTTTGGAGTAATTTAGATATGACACTTGTGATTAACAAAGCAGAGGGTGAAGGCATTTGCAATGCAAATCTGACACATATTTATGTGTAGGTAATGGATTTAAACGATGATGTGCTCAGTGCAATGCAACTTTATGCAGATGTAAGTGCCTAAGAAGTAATTAAGTACAGTTTTCTGTGCCATTAATTAGAGGATCCCGAATGCTTCCACTATCAGTGGGCTCATCTCGGAACCAAACTGGAACTGGGTGTGCCATTTGCACTGGCAACTTTATGTGCAAAGAGCACAAAGAGAAAACTGTTTGATTTGGGCATTTAGCACCCATTCCAAAGCAAACCTGAGCTTTTCGTGTCTGGCATTAGCACCTGATGACTGCATATTCCCCATTTCTGTCTTTCACTGATGAAAAGAGGAGCTCAGGCAGCCCTTGCTCCTGTGTGGGCTTGGAATCCAGCCCTGATTCCAGGGCAGAGCCAGGCTGCTGGCACGTCTGGGGCTGAGTGGCACAAAAGGCAATTTCTGGGGTGTGTGGGGCATCTCAGGCTCACAGGAACACATTTCAGAGTGTGTGGCACTCACATTTCAGAGCTGGCTGCAGGAACAGCTGTCTCAGGTGGAGCTGATGTGCAGCACGGGGAACTGGGGGTGCCTCCTCCTGCTGAGCAGAGCTGGAACTCCCAATCGTGGATTCTGGTGGGGAAAATCCCCCTTGGAGGATCAGCGGGTGTTTCATGTCTGTATTTTGGCACTGAAGGGGCGCATTTGTGCCTGCTAAGGGCCACAGAGATTTCCCTCCTCCTTTGCCCTGCTCAGATGCTCTGAGCTGACCCTGGGAGCAGGAAAAGGAAGCTGTAAGACTTTAGCAAAAAAACCCTGGACTTTTCAGCTGACCTGCTGCTGTGGATGAGTTTTCTGAGGGGAAGAGGAAAAGTTTGGCTGGAGGAGGAGCTGGGACACATCCCCATGCCCAGGGCTGCTCCTGCTGGGTTATATCCAGCCAGAGCCCGTGTCCAGAGACCCTGAGCATCCAGGGGGCTTCCTGGAGTTTATTTGGATGGCTGTGTGTCCTTCCATGATCCACGTGAGGCGAGGATGCTCACGAACAAGAGCAAAGGCTTTTTGGGGAAGGGAACCCCCTCTGTGCTCCAGGGGTGGGAATGATCCCTGCTGCCTGCACTTGGCTGTGCCAGGGACAGGCCTGGCCTGGGGAATGTCACTTGTTAAACCTTGTGTCAGGTTCTGTGGGCTGCAGCTCTGCTCTCCAGGACAAGGGCAGGGGTGAAGCTGCCCTGGAGTTCTGTGCTCACAGCCCAGGCACAGCCCTCGGCCTCCCTGCACTGCTGGGGAAGAGCTGGGTAAATATTATTATATCAATATTGTTATATATTAATAAATTTATCAATATTGTTAAATATGAATAAATCTCTGATGCAATATCCTGGTGCTTTATTTGCTTTGATGTTTGGTGATTGCAGGACAAAGTAACTTGGGAAATAAACGTGTCGAGCTGAGCTCTTGCTGTGTATTTGAAATAAACGCATGGACTTGTCAAGGAAACCCACAAATGCCTGAGATTTCTTTTTAAATTTATTTATTGTAACGGGAGACAGCTTTGTTTGAATAAAGGCGGAGCGCAGCGGGGCACAGCCCGCGGGGTTTTCCCTCTCGGTTTGGAGGACACCCCTCCTCTCATCCCAAATTCCGGCTGCATTCCGCCCTCCTCCGTCCCCACTGCCCGCGGTACAGGGAAGGGGCAGCCTGCCCCACATGCCCCTGAGCCTGCAGCCTGCCCCACATCCCCCGGAACCTGGTGTGAAAAATGCATGTGTTTTATGATTGGCTTTTCGCAAATATTCAAATGAATATTTTATGTGTTGTGTTAGAAAGTAATGCTGTATTAATTCTCTTAAGTACTGTGTTAAATATAGTTTTAGGCTATAAAAATTGTTAAAATAGAAACGATGCTGTGTAAGATGCTTTGTTTAAAAGAAAGGGCTTGCAGATAGCAGCCACAGGACACCTAGATCTTTCAGAGAAAGAGAATTTATTCCCCATTATCAGAAGAAACGAACTTCTTCCCGCCTTGGAGGTGCTGTCAGGATTCAGAGGAAGAAGCTGACACTGCCCAGACAGAATCCTGTGTTTGAATGGAATTTATGCATCATGTATGAGATGTATGAATATGCAACAGGCTATTGTTCTTAAGGGTTAATCCTCTGTTAACGGGGGTCCTTTTTCGGGCTCGTGCTGCCCGGAAAAATGTACCCAGACTGTCTGTAACTCTTTGTTTTTATTGTCTCATATTGCCCGAATTCAATTTGTCCAAATTGTTATTACTCTAATTGTGTTACTATTTTTATTACCATTTCATTACTATTAAAATTTTAAAAACAAGTGGTTGGCGTTTTTCACACTGGCATCCGAGTGCAGAGCCCCTCGTCCCTCTGGGAGCCAGGCTGGCACCAAACCTGCTGCCCACAGCCTGCAGGGACACCAGGAACATTCCAAGGACATTGCCACCCCCCAAACTGTTTGTAAAGACTGTTTATAGCACTCCTCTTTCCTCTCAGTCCCTCCTCATCTCACTTTGGCCTCACAAACCCCGGTTATCAGTGCCTTAACCCTTTAAACAGCACTTGAACACTGGAACCAGCCCCTCCTGCCTTTTCTCTGCCTGCTCCCTGCCAGCAAATCCAGGGCGTAAAGCAGAGCCTGGTAACTCTGCCATACCCTGAGATCCTGCCCAGCTCTCCCATCTCCATCATCCTCCAGCTGAGAAATCCCAATCTGCAGGGCCCTGGAGACCCTGACCCGAGTGTGGGATGGCCACTCGTGTCCTGCTGTCCTGGCTGCTGTCCTGCTGTCCTGGCTGCACGTTAGGGACACCAAAGGCCTCAGACAGAGTCTCTGTGCCCTGGGCTTCCTGGTCAAGTCATCCCAAATGAACTCAGGGAAAGAGTTAAAGGAAAATAAACTAAATTATGAAATACATTTTTAAATAGTCAAATGACCCCTATGACCTGGAGTAACCCTGACTGTGACCTTGAAGGACCCCAATGACCTACAGTAACCACAATCATGACCTCAAATGACCCCGAGGAGGGTAAAAAATGACCTAAAGTAACCCCTGGAAAAACCAAAAAATTCTCAAATGACCTAGAGTAACCTGTGTGTCCTCAAATGACCCCTGTGACCTAGAGTAACCCCAATTTGACCC